GCCACGGGATGGGGCATTGTGTCCCTTGTAAGGGGGCGTGCGAGTGGGCGTGTAAGGGGGATGAGTTGATTTTGGCCCCTTTCGAGTGGCTTAGGCTATGTGCGTGCCTTTGGCATATTTGTGTGCCAGCCACACACATCCGAGGAGGCAGAAGTGATAGCCAGAACCAGGAGGTTCCCTCAAAGGTACATATAGTGAGCGATAGCGAAGAGCAAGTTCAATGGCTTCCCTCATAAATCCATCGCCGTAGCCCATGCAAATAAACAAGACTGCCGCCCAGGCAAGTCGGGAAAATGAAAATATCGGGTGTTGAGTCTTCCCGAAGCAGGCAATATTCGCCGACCAGCGGATGGATGGCCAAACACCAAAACAACATCCAATCCGCACACCCACGTGGCAAAACGCAGCATAGGATGCAAGATACGTGCTGATTTAAACCTTTTTCGATATGTTTCCCCAACTTCGGGAAAAGCAACCAGATGATTGGAAAACGGAGTTCGCTGCGGGTTTCCGTTTAGCCAGCTAGAAAACAAAAAAGAGTAGGAGCTCCTGTAAATCCTTGTTGTGCAAACATGCATCCAGCTAACCAATATTATTAATTGGTGTGAATTCAGTACTTGAAAATGTACATTTTCAATATTTGAACAGTATGAAAGCAATACGGTTTGAAAAAAGCTTTTTAATTACGCAAAATATTAATTAGTGCAGCCAAACAAGCTTTGGCCTCGGGTTTCCAGAGATTAAATGAAATTTGATACATTTATTTTATGAATACATACTCGAAAAGGTTTTTAGGAAGATATTAAGCAAGGATAATTAAAGTGTTATTAAATTATGGCTCTCATTTTTTTTGTAATAATAAATAGTCTTAAAATGGCAATAAATGTGTTTAAAGCGTAGTTGCACAGTCGAAGAGCTATAGTTTTCCAAACCCTACCAAATATAGGTGTCAAAATTCTCAGTTTTCCGTTTTTCACTTTCAATTTATCCTCTATTTCAACCTTTATCGCCTCCTTTTTTGCTCTGCTCGTCAGATGTTCTTCCTCGAGCTCACGTTTTTTTGCCAGAAGTTGGCCAAAAGGGTTTTGTTCCTTGGCTCAGTCATGCACGATGAGGGACCCAAAACATAAATACAAAATCATTTTTGTTTTTTCCCTTGGTATTTTGGAAGGTTTTATGCCTCCCAGCTGCTCTTGTTGTTGTTTATCCTGTGGGCCTAAATCATATTAATGAATTTTCTTTCGGTCATGTTTTGGTCCTCGGTCAAGTTTGGCAAGGGTTGCGAATGGAAGTTTGGGGCGACATTAATTACGCAAAATTAAATTTAATATCCTCGCATTAGCCGTGAATCAAGAAATGTACAAAAAATGAAACGCCTCACCGGTTTTTACTTACTTTTGGAGGAGTTTTCCCAAGGGAAGGGGATACTTTGTGGGGTCACCACTTGAGCGGCTTAGTTTAATTTATGTTTAAAAAAAAGGGCAGAACAAGAAATAATAATTGCCTGCAATGCGAAATCCGCTTTTGGTCATTAGCGGGGAAACCCTTTTTGTTTTTTTTTTGGTTGGGCAAAAAGGGGAAGTTTGGCCAGGGGGTGAATGCGTGAATGTGGGGCTGAGGGTTAGAGGTCAGCTCCCAACGGAATTTATTTGCCTCGCGCATTGCGGACCTCATTAGCAATAGTTTTGTTTGGCTTTGTCTGGTTTTCGGTTCAGTTCAGTTTTCGGGGCCGGAATGTTTATTTTGAATTCCCCCCATTTTCGGCCTATCCAGACATAAATCATGGCCCGGACTGCACTGACAGTTGCGGCGCCATCGATGATGATGATGGCATTTTGTGGGCATAGCAGGGGATTGGACCTTATCAGTTGGCCGGCACTATAATAATTCCAGACCTGGCTCCGAACTGCGGCCCAACTAATTAGCCCACAAATGTGCGACAACAGAGGGTCCGAAAGGAGGCACTGGGCAGGGTCCATAAATAATGACGGCTAATTTAAATGGATTGCTAAGGGCAACAAACGCGAATCAAGGCATTTCATATGCAGATAGCTGGAAAAGGTTGACTTGTTTGTGGGGGTATTTTGATTGTAGGTTTGTGTTTTGAGTTCCTAACTAAATGTCCTAACTTGTTCCTAAAATTTCTTTAAATTGTTACCATTTTGTCAGCCCTTTTTGACCTTACTCTTATAACACTAAGCCATACCTAAATAATTGCATTTTAAACTCCTGCTGTATCATATCTTAGCCCCAGTTTATAATACCTATTTTCCCTTGACAATTTGCTTAGTTACCCAGTTGCTATGCCTACCATTTCAATTTTGCATGAATCCTACCCCCTGCACTTTCCCTATTTATCAGGTGTCCTTGGTAATACTAACCCATTTATTTAGCAAGGCAAAAAATAGTAAAATATAAAGTACAGGAAGTTTTTTCCACAATCTCACTCATCTTATGCCCCACCTGTTTTCCTTCTTTGGCTTTGACTGTCATTGTGGGGTGCGAGTAGAAGGGATGGTAGGGCAGGAGGAAAAGAAGGGGTGGCAAAGGAGGAGGAAAAGAAGGGGTTGGCTGACTGGTTAAACGAGGAGGCCAATCAAGCTGCATGAGTGCATTCTCCTGGAGCTCAGCTGCATCTTCCACACACACGGAAAAACACGCACACAAACAGAGCGGCAGGAACACGTGTGTGGCATCATCATTAACGGTACTGAAAGGATAGCCGTTTGAAAGCGGAGAATCGGGGGTCTCAGACTTTCTCCCCGTTTCACCTTGCCCCTTTCACCTTCCTGTTGTCTTTGCTGATTGCCTGCGAAAGGCAGCTACCAAGCGAGAAAGCAAAGGAAAGCGGACTTAGTTAAATCCCAGTTAAGTCAGATATCCGATCGGGGAAAGATTCCACAGTATATCAAGTTTCTAACTGGCAGTAATGCAGGCGGACATCAATGATATTGGATAATGATATAGAAATAAATTAGGGAAATATTTCAGAAAATCATATTACTGCCAAGAGAGTCAACAGAAATCGATAGTAACAATGGGTTTACTATAGCTATAAAAATTATTAGTGTTAAAAATGTGCTTTAAGTTTTTGTACAATTTAAACTAAAATAGGTATTATTTAATCAGAATAAAAATCTCATATTACCTTTGCAAATGACCTGGTTTCTTAATGATCTGTGATAATACTTTCTGTGTAGAACTTAAGGATATTGAACTCTTATTCTCAAGAGGTCTTTATAATGAAGTTTTATTTAAAGAAGTTCCTCTGTATTTATTATGGTCAATGGAGCAGTGCAATATGGGAATTTTATTTAAATTCGATTTCGATCCAAAGCAATTTCCAAGTGCGGTAATTGCATATTTCGTATTAAATCGTTTTATCCCAGTACGAAATGCTAATTTATTTGTTAGTACTCATGCGTGTGTTTGTGCTGGAGAACAAAACTCCTATTTGTGAGTGTTAAGCCGAGCATGAATAATTCAAATCAAAATTAATTCGTTATTAGTTTGCAGCAAACACGAGCAACAGGCATGAAGGCGAAAGGATGTGGGGCAAAAAACTTGGAAAACCAATAAGTATGGTCGGGCATAAAGCCAACCTCATTAGCAACTATGTTTGTGTGTATTCGAGCGAGGGAGATGGTGGCAAAGAGCGAAAGAGAGGGAGCCAACAGGGCTCCAATAGCGCCTTGAAAATTTACATAAAACACTAAAAATATCTACAGCAGCGACCGACGACAAAGTAAAAAAGCGAAAATAAGTAAAAGAAAAACTAAGAAAAATGAAATTCAAATAAACCTTAAAATTGACTTAGCAACGACGACAGCAACAACAAAAAACAAAACCAACATCGGTGACAGAAGCAGCGTCAGCAACAGCAAAAAACCAAAAAAAATAAATAAAAAAGCTCCATGACAAGACATCAACAAACAATCAAGCCATGAAAAGCCAAGAAAAATGAAATGTAAAACGCTTGAACGTTTGCCTTATAAGAAAAAAGGGAAAGCTCTCCTTATTTAAAGCAGTAGTTATTTTTTGTGAAATCAAATAAGTTCGATCGCAGTCGTTCTTAAACCCTCGTTACCTTTCTTTTATTATTTTTATTTATATTCGTACTTTGCATTATGGGTCTGTCGTCTGGGGAGTTGGGGGGCCCTACCTCCAATGCAACACATCGAACTCAAACAGGTTGGTAGACCAAAAGCCAAAACGAGGGGTGGTTAAGGGATTTCTGGAGTTTGGGTTACAAATAAAATCTTTTCTACAACATCCAAAGATACTATTTCTAGACGTTGGATTATAAGTAATATCATTTTTATAACACCCGATGATACAGTTATTTACTAAATATAATAATTCAGTTTATCTTTAATCCAATTTTGGAAGCTTTAGAAATTATTTCACAACATTTACTGATTTCAAGTATTAAATATTGGGTCTTATTTTAAGTAAGAAAAGTGTTTATATTTCTTTAAACATTTATTACTAAATTTTCCCGAAGCTATTTTGTAGGTATGCTGTTAAATAAATATTAAATAAAAATAGTTTTTATTTTTAATATGGAATTCTATTCAATTTAGAGAGTAAATTTATTAATAAATTGTAAGCGGTCGCTACTCACATTAATATTAACTATATATTTTAGTTGTCCCACTCTATATAAACTGAAATATGAATTTAAAATATTTTTATTTCTAAAAACGAAAAGAGACCACCATAAATTGATATACTAACCACATATACCCTTAAAATGTGTTATAATGTACCATTTAATTACAAGCTATTGTAATATCAATTATTTGAAGTTCAGGGCGGTCGTACCACCCCCCATCCCCATCCGCCCCACCACCCTTCGAACATGTTCGAACCTGTTTGGAGCCGGCTGCCATTTGGGGGGCCGCTCTGCCCGGCGCCTCTGCCGTCCCTCTGCCGCGTCGCCGCTGGCATTGGCGCTCGGCGTCGCTGCTCGGCTTCAGTTTTCAGTTTGTTTATAAACTTTGTGCTGTGCGGATGTATCTGTCGCTCTTTGGTCGTCTGTGCGCATCGTTGCGAGCCACGAACTTCGAATCCGTAAGATAGCCGCCTGGCGGTACGCTCTGCCCCCGCCCCGCCCCCTCTAACGCCCACTCTTCGGGGAAAATCTTAAGGAAAAGCGCGCGCGCGACAAGTGAAGCGCACAGGTTATTCTATCTGCGCTCGCATGGGTGAAACGGTGAAACAGTGTGTTTATTTGTGTGATTTCTTTTGTTTGCTGGCCAATTGTGGGACATAATTGAATGCTTGTCTCATATGGGCCAACAGAACCCACGGGCCAAAAGCAACAAAAACAGCAAATACATCGGCAAAAGCAAAAGCCTACTCGAGTGTTTCGCAACGCCATAAAAAAAGCATACGTATATATATATATATTGGAAATAAAAAAAGAGGAGAAATACCAAAGCCCAATACATATACACGCACATATCGACGAGAAGAGAAGCTAAGCCAGAAAATACTATATATATATATGTATATGTTTATATAGCATACATATATAGCGTACAAAAACCAGTTTTGGACCGCCGCAGCAGAAGCAAAAGCAGCGCAGTCGCAGCGTTTTGGACGAGGTGAGCACTTGCATTGGTGTGCGTGTGTATCTGTGTGCGTTTTACCGCCCACATGTCGCGGCTTTCTCTGCCAACGTCGCCGTCAGCGTCGCCAAACTGGCTTTTGTGTCGTATGTGAAAAGATACTTTAATTCGATCGGAGTATCCATCCATCCTCTCCCCCAAGAAAATAGAACCCCAACAACTTGTTGAGGCATTCTTCATTTCGCCAACCAGAACCGGAGACAACTCCAATTTGATTCTAGATGCCCAGCAAATGTAAATCATTTCAGAGAAACAACAAAATGCCAGTAAACTAAACTAATTTGCACAGTTTTGCTTTTGACAAACTTTGTCTCTCTCTATGTTAACAAAAAAGCGATAAAAACAAGTTAGTTTCGCAAGTCGAAGTGTTTATACGCTTGCAGTTTATAGAGATCTTATTTGGAAGAACCTTAAAAAACACCCTAAGGATAGGAAAACTTAACATAATATGTACTATCGTAAAAAAGTTTGGGTTTAATTTGTAAAATGTTGAAGCTAAGTTAGTATCACTGAATATTTTCAATTCCATAAAATGTCCCAGAATTATATTTATCTTTTTACTCTATCGTAAATTAAAGTTGCAAACTTCAGAGTACTTTATCGTGTTTATCCTGTAGTATATCCCTTTTGCCAAAAGATAGTACTCCCAATTAGGGTATAAAAAACTAATTTAGACAAGATGAGGCAACAACAAGAACTGATAGCAAAGGCAGAACAACAACAAAAGTAACAACGGCAGAGCACAAAAAGCTCCGAAAAAGTTTTTAATTGTCAACTTTAAGCCGAAGCCAACTTTGGTGGAATATAGAAAGAAGAGTTGTTTTTTTGGCAGCGACTCTTCCTCCTTTGCAGACTCCTATTTAGCCTTTTCCATGGGCGGAACTCACTAAATGAAATTTAGTTTACTCGCCTTTGTCCCGATTTCCTCTTTCTTTTACTATCTTTTTCACTTCTCAGACTTCTTTTTGGGAACAGGATGTGTTAGTTGTTTGACATTTGTTCGCTGAATTATTTATTCGGCGAATCAATACCTAATCAATAGGGAAAGTTCGAGGGAATAATGTTGTTCTAGAGCTTAAGAAGGCTTGTAATAAACTTGTGGTGAAAAAAGTATCTTTTAGATACAACTATATGTACATGTTAACAGATACAATATGAAAACTGCAAAGGCTTTCAGTAGACTATTTCTTACCAAATAATAATGTCAGAAGTTGGAAGCAAACCCTGTAACAAACATTCTTTCTCATTCCCGTAAGGATATTAGATGCTTCGACTTTGTCGGACAAAGTCTCAACCCTTTAACTCACTTACTTAATTATGTTTCAATCCCAGTATCCTGATCTACCCCAATATTCCCCCGTCGCTCGCGCCTTTTTAATTTGTTTGGCCTGCTTTCGCCGAGTCCTTATGTACTCGTATCTCACAGTTTGCCTCAATTACTGGCTCCCGTCCCGTCTCCTTGTGCTCCTTTCTCCATGGACCTGCATACCATGCATCCACTTTTATATGGAACTTTTGTTTTCGTGCCATTTTTCATATACTTTCGCTAGCTACGCACAAATTAAAAGTTTATGCTGTTGGAGAAAAGGGAGAAAGGGGTAAAAATATGGAGACTGCACTGCATCTGCCACTGGAACTGGGACTAAAACTGCCAACTATCCATGCTAGCCAGACTTAATGCGCAACAATATTTTTTCTATCGCACAGCAGCAGGCTAAAACTTTGTCCATGGCCCCCCAAAAATATCAGGGTATATCCTATATGAAAACCCCCTATCCATCCCTTTATCCTCTGCCAACACTTTCACCCGGCAAATATTTGGAATACATTTGCTGGAGTTGCCAGGAGACAGACTTTTGGCATAATTTGTATGCAAAAATCTCAAATAATATACATGGGACGACACCCACTGGCCTGTACGTATGTATCTGTACCTACGCATCTGAGGGATGTCCCTGCTGGTGACAGTTTATAATTTCAATCAGTGTCACACTTGTGACAACTTGTTATGTTTTATTGCCATGGCCAGGAAGGAAGGAGGTCCATATCCCTGGCCCCCTTTAAAAAAATTGAATGGAAATTCATTTCATGATCTCCTTTTTAGCCCGCTTCCACCCACTTTAAGTCGCAAAGTCAATGAAAGAAAAACAAAAGAATATTTTCTTTAATTATTTCGCATGCCGGACACATGTCGAGCCAAGCAAATGTTTTACAAAAATTGCAAACAAATGCATATATTTATGTAGGGATAACTTTCGACTTGCAACTTTTGCCAAGATACCAAGAGGTTGGGCAGGAGTTATAGTTTCTGTGGTTGAAACAGAGATACCTACCAAAAATAGTTGCCTTTGCTTAGAGATATTTGGCTAGCTTGTGGCATGGTCACGGGCTGTAATTGCAGCTCTGGCCGTCTGGAACTGGCCAATTGTGGACAGAACTTTGGTCAGGTGGGTAACCTGAAATATCTGAGAACTTTAATTAAATTGCCAAAAATATTCGCCCCTTTGAACAAAGAAGTTTGTAAGCCAAAAGAAATTGAAAGAAAATATGCATATGGTCAAGAAATATAAAAGTTTTCAGTACAAATTAAACGCAATACAAAAATTTTTTTAACTTTGTAACTTTGATTTTCTAAAATACATCCTGAATACATTTAAATTTATTTATTTACTACCCAACACAGTAAACAACTTGTTTATTTGTTATCTTGCGACGCCCAGGAATTGATATAATTAAAAGTGATTTGTTGCAATCACTGTGAAGTGGAAAACGCTTGTACCATTTTCCAAGTTTCCTGTCAATCAAAGTCAGTCAAAGGATAAGCGTGCTGCAACTTGATCACAGACTGAAAACTGAAAACTGCAATCTGCAAACTGCAGCTAAAAGTTTAGAAGTTGGGGGCAGTTACGCAGCTGCTATTGTTATGTTCCTTTGAAGACAATTTCAACTAAATTGCAAATGCGGCAAATGTGAAGCTCTTGAAGGGGTTGAACCAGCCAGACAGCCAGTCAGCAAAAGATACAGATGCGTGGCTGATTTCAGGGGAAAACTATTTGCAACGAAAATATACAGTAACCAAAGTCTCGGCGATGAGTCAGAAAATGAGGTTCTCTGCAGACCGAATAAATATTCCATAAAAGCGAATTAAGCCTCGGTTGAAAATTTAATTCAATCGACGGCGGATGCCTTTAAGAATCTCGGGATCGGCGAATATTTGCATAAAATCACAATTAAAGCGATTGCCGGCTGGCTTTAATTGTTTTGTATCTCTCAGATGCATTGTGTAAGCCACGCCGCATACATTATATCTTTATCTGTGCCCCGTCTGGCTGGCTGCATTTATCCCCCCCTCAGTCTGCAAAAAATTTATGACTCACGGGTTGATTTTTCTCTCCATTTTCCTGGCCACAGCAGCGTGTGTTGCTGATGTATCTGTATCTTGCAACTGCAACGGCAGCACCGTAATTGTCGCTTTCGTGTTAAAGAGGGCAGGTCGAAAAGTTCCAGTGGGTAGAGAACTTTTTCATCTTCAATTTGCATCATTTTTTCCATCTTTGACTTTGGCACGCCGAAATGTCTTTCTATGCGTTTTTGTCTGAGCCCCAGTTGCCTTTGAGGCATGCCACAAGTCTGGGTGCCCCCCTCACCCTCTCACCCACCACCCCTGCCTTCAGCCACTCACAGGTGTGTGCGTGAGCTCGTGCATGTGTGGGTGGAACGTGCCACAAGCTGCCAGCTTCAGGAAATTTTCTTTTCTCATTTCGGCTCGTTCTGCTTTCTCCATCATGTATTTATACCTGAATTTTGCAGGGTGGCAGAGGATTTTCGGGTTGATAGGAATTTTAAAATCTGAAAGCAACGTTAGTAAAATAAAATTTTGATCACGATCAAAAGTTTTCTTATCTATTCAATTTGGAAAACTAAAAAGGTGTGGGCTATTCATGTTTATAAAATGTGATATATTCTTCTGAATTTTTATGTAACATTGATTTCAAGATTTTTCTTTAGTAGTACTTTATGTAAAATTGCAAAGTCGTTAGGAATACCTAATAAAAATGATAAAATAGGGTATTTATTTTAATGTATGACCCACTCTCCCCTTTTATTGGTGTTTAATGGGTATCTCACCTGCTGTTACCCCCATTCCCGACGTAAAATTTGTTTTATTTTTCTTTCGGCTGCCTGTCTGCGGCTTATTGTGTGAATTACTGCCGGGCCATTCTCCTTCCGTCGGGGTCTGGAAAAACTGAGAAGTATGGTTTCTCTGAGGTGGTCTGGGATGGTCTAAGCTGCTCGGATTACAGCTATCAGCTGCTGCCGCCAACTACCCATTTACCCCTCCCCCGGTGGGCGTGGTCGACATCTTGACTTTCGGTGGGGTCAGAAGGGGGCACGGGGTAAGGTCAATGATGCCCTATTTGGCATCATAGCAAAAGCCAATGGCCTGTCAAATTTAAATATAATTAGGCATAATTTGTTGCAATTTGTAAAGCAATTTACTGCGGCCACGTTTGAATGAAAATCTCGGGGGGAAAGAGGTCCATTGGGTGGTGAATTAATTAGGGAAAATGTTCAAAAGCAACAGCTTAGAACTGAGATTTTATTAAGTTCAAGATTTGCAAATGCTAGCTATTTAATTGAAATGAAATAATAAGGATTTTAAGAATTAAATAAGAATAATTCAGGTAAGCTTCACTTTAATTTACCTTAAGATAGTTGTCACAAGACTGTTACTTTTAGCTTTTTAACAAACTTGTCGTGTGTCTTGTTTTTAAATTGATTTTACCTCATAGAACATGTCCAATGTCCACTTCTTCATTATTCATTTAAGTGCAACATGAACATGGCTGCACTACCTCTGATATTTTTAGTTTTCTCCTCCCAGTTCCGAGCAGCCTTCAAACTATTTTTGTTAGCTGAACTTTTGGCCCCGCTCCAGAAGGATGCCCTGTAAATATTTCCATCGAATGTTGGCT